CTCGGCTCTTACTACCTCCTTCATGTTTGGGTTTAGCCTCCTTTGACTTTCAATTGTTGGTCGAAAATTCTCCTCCATGAGAATTTTATGCATACATAAGGAAGGGCTGATCCCTTTGATATCAGCTATGGTCCACCCAATTGCTTGTTTGTTATCTCGAAGCACCCTAAGCAGTTTTTCCTCCTCCACTTTACTAACCATGTTTGAAATTATCACTGGAAGTGTATTGGACTCCCCCAAATATGCATATCTTAAGCGTGGGGGCAGCTGCTTAAGTTCCAACTTTGGTGGCTTTAGAATAGATGGTTGTGATTTCTCTAGCCCTGTCCCAAACTCCTCAAAGTATCGTTTCCGCGTGTAAGGTGGGTTGGACTCCAAAAATCTTGCACACATTTCTATGTTCACAGAATCAGAATTTGTGGATTTAGAATGTGCAATGCAGGCCTCCAATGCATCTGATGGATGTTGCAGTGTAAACGACTCTTCAATCATGTCAATCCTGAAACATCTGTCAGTCTCTATTGGTAGTTTCATAGCCTTGAAGACATTGAATGAAACCTGTTCTTCTCCCAATCTTAGTATCAACTGCCCATTCTGAACGTCGATCAAAGCTCTGCCTATGGCCAAGAATGGTCTGCCCAGTATTAAAGGAACATCTTTATCTTCTTCCATATCCAGAATCAGAAAGTCTACTGGGAATATGAACTTCTCCATTTTAACCAATACGTCTTCAATTATTCCTCGTGGATGTGTCAATGATCTGTCAGCCAGCTGTAAGGTCACCGTGGTAGCTTTAGCTTCTCCCAATCCTAATTTCCTGAAAACAAACAATGGCATTAAGTTAATACTTGCACCAAGATCACATAAAGCTTTATCAAAATAAAATTCACCAATGGTCCAAGGGACAGTGAAACTCCCTGGATCTTTCAATTTTGCTGGAGCTTTCTCTAAATCCTGGCACTGCACTCCTCTGTTAGCATAACTGTCTCGTGATCTCCTAGCTTCCTTTTGTTTAATAGGATGTCTTTCAGGAATTTTGCATAGCTAGGCATCGGAACTAGTGTTTCAGCGAATGGGATATTGATATAGAGCTTCTTGAAGACTTCGAGAAACTTCTTGTATTGCTGTTCCATCTTTTGCTTCTTCAGTCTCTGTGGGAACGGTATGGGTGGCTACAATTTCTTTATCCCTTGAGTTTCCTTTATTTGCTCTCGGTGTTGGCTCTTCTATCTGTTCTTCTTGCTCCAAAATCTCTTCTACTTCAGGAGACATCTCTTCTCTATTTGCCACGGGATTATTCACTTGTCTCTCAGGTAATTCCACTCCACTTCTCGTTGTTATAGCCTTTGCATGCTCTTTCGAATTGACTTCTGTGTTACTTGGCAGGCTGCCTGGTGCTCTACCTGTTAATGCAACTGCCATCTATCCCATCTGAGTTTCCAAATTCTTAATGGCTGCATTCTGGTCCTGAAGAGTGGCTTCTGTCTTCTTCATGAATTGGTTGTTCGCCTCCATATATTGGTTAGTCTGTTCCATGAATTTGCCGAACATTTCTTCCAATTGAGGCTTCTTCTCTTACTGTTGATATTGCCCCTGTGGCCTATTCTGATTTTGGTTGCTCCAATAAAAGTTGGGGTACTTTTTCCAACTTGGGTTGAAGGTCTCTCCATACACGTTATTCTGCTGGCATTGTCCCCATTGAGCAAAATCTGTTTGCTCTTTTCCTTGTGTCAAAATTGGGCATTCTACTGTCATATGCTCCGATCCACATTCCTCACAATTCGCCTTCTTTGTCTGCTCTGCGTTAGCTGACTGGGTAATTTTTTCCACCTTGTGAAATAAGGAATCAATCGTAGCGGATAACGCTGAATATACATCCACTTCATAAACTCTTAGCGTCTCTTTGGTATTGCTCGTTCCATGGTCCACATTGCTGAGGTGGTAGCCATTGTCTCATATAATTTCAATGCTTCATCAATTGTTTTTGTGGACAATGACCCATTAGCTGAAGAGTCGACCATGCTCTTGAAAGCTGGAAGTAACCCTGCATAGAAATATTGGACCTGAAGTCCCTTGCTAATCCCGTGGTGTGGACACTTCCTTAGTAGATTTTTAAATCTGCTCCAAGCCTCATCAAAATTCTCAAATTCACCTTGCCTAAAGATAGATATGTCGTACTTTAGCTTTGCTATCTTGGCCGGTGGGAAGAACTTAGTACAGAACTTCTGAGCTAGGTCATTCCAGGTAGTAATGCTGGCTATCGGCTGAGAATCAAGCCATTCAATCGCCTTGTCCCACAAAGTATGTGGAAACAGTCTTAATCTTATGGCGTCATCAGATATTCCTTGATATTTGAAGTGCTGGCACATCTCTAAGAAGCGCGAGACGTGCGTGTACGGATTCTCTTCAATTCTTCCTTAAAATTGATGTCCGTTCTGGAACAGTTGTATCACATTTGTCTTCAACTGGAAATTTGGCTGCCCGAACGCTGGATATACAATGCTGGACTGGCTTTGAATGATTTGAGGGGTCATGAACTCTCCAACGAGCATGTTTCCTTCGTCTTCTTCCCTTCTTTCATTGGCTTGTACAACAGGATTGTGTTGTGCGTTCTCCATCTGATTTCTCGCTGCTCTGTTTTCTCTCTGCCTTCTTCTGAAGCTTCGTTCGATCTCTGGGTCGGCTGGGAGTAGATCTCCTTCAGCAGATCTTGGCATGCACTTCTACAATATAATTCAATTTAAAGACTTAAGTAATAAAAATATGCACTTATGTAATAAAACTAAATAGCAATAAAATAAAATGAACTAAAATAAATTAAAAAAATAAAAAGTTCGAATTAGTGCTAAATTGAATAAAATTAAACGAATACTCAATTCCCGGAACGGCGCCAAAAACTTGTTCACGAAATAATTCTTTCGATTTAAAATTACTGCAAGTGTACGGTTCGTAACAAGTAATAAAGTGGATTTTTAAAGGTCCGAATATCGTCCCTCAAAGATTGAGTAGTTCAATTCTATATAATCTAGCCTTAATTGAATCTAATTGAGTGAAAATATGGTCTAAATGCAAAAAGCCCTAATTTCAACTAAAAACCCTAATTTCTATTGAAAACCCTAATTTCGAAATTTCTCTAATTAAACGACTCAAACACTCAAGTAAATGAAATTATGCAAATTCAAAAGCTAATTTATGGAAATGATCAAACTAAAGTCACTAAGATCACAAATCCCCAATTGAAGTTATAAAAACCCTAATTTCATAAAATTAATAACCCTATGAAAATTTGTCAATTCAATGTTCCTAATTCTATCCAATATATTCTCTCGATATATATTAGACCTATTCTTGCACACCATCAACCTATATCTCTATGGATGATGCAAATATACAAGAATGCATGTGGTTTTGTGAACAATTAAAGAATTGCATAAAGTATAGGGGTATATCTCTATCCTCTATCGGATCCTATATTAATTTACACCTTATCGAACCTATTCCACTTCTCTCGAATGTAAGAAACAAGTCATCAACACTCACACAATCTTTGGCCACTAATTGCGGAAGAAAATCAATGCATGTAAACCAATCAAATTATCCAAACGAGTCTTTATATTAAATTCATGAAATATGGAATTAAAATAACAAACAATGGTTCATCGATCACCTAGTAATTGAAAACCTAGCCTAGAATATCCATAATTACAGAAAAAAACGAAATTAATAAATAGAAAGAATAGCACCCGTATGAAAATTCTTGAAATCTTGAAAACCCGCTTGAATTCTTGTGGAATTGGCTTCAAGATCGTGTTTCTTGCCTCCAGAAGTTATATTTTTCTTCTCCCTGGACATTCTGCCCTATTTCTGATGAATTTTGGCTTTTATATCATGTCCTCACGGAGCCCTGAAAGAGTTTCAATTAAAAACGGAAGTTCAGAATTTTCTTCGGATTTTAAAGCCATGCGGCCACATGGTGTTAAACCGTGCGACCGCATGGTTCAAGTGGTCTGCTTCAAAAATATCCCTGCCTCCTCATGTGCGGCCGCATGGTATAGTTACATGCGGCCGCAAGGTTGTAACTTTACAACCTTGCTATTTTGGTCCCTAAACTCCGTTTTCTCTTTTCTTGATCTCTTTTCTTTCTTTCCTTTATTCCATTATCAAATATTGACTCCTAATTGATGTTTGGATCAATCAATTCCTTGATCAATTGCTCAGCTCATCTTTTGATTAATTACAATTTAGTCCTTCATCTTTCACTTTTCTTCAATTCAGTCCAATGTTACTTCTTTCTTCCTTCGATCATCTTGTATCGTCCTCAATCTCATACTTGGCATATTTTCATTCTAGTTCTGCACTTTAGCTCAACTTTTCAATATTTGCACCTTTGGTCCCCGAACTATCGCTTTGTTCCGTTTTGGTCCTTTTTCGGCTCTTTTCTTCTGAATTCCATCTTTTTCATAGAAACACCTACATTGCATAAATTTAATGAGATTAAGTTATAATTCAACTACTTTGTCCATGTTTAAATCATGTTCGTGAGCTAAATAAGTATGTAAAAACACACTTATCAATGAGCAAATATGGAGCTTCCAAGGATGATGCAGTCTCAAGGGCAGATTGATCATGACTATATGATATTGTTAATCAAGGATGCAGCCTGTTATAATTTGTTTTCAACCCGTCAGGATCGAACATTGGACGTTTTGTGGGTAGGGACAACTGGCTATGGAGTTGCCTTGGATATTATACTTGTGATAGTTTCTCAACTGAGTAAGTCCATTCACTTGAAAAGACTGAAACATCCCTTCTCCATGGTGACCATAATTGGAGTGCTTGCAAGGAAAATGGCGTGGTTGCATGATGAATGGACAAAGCCAGCATCAACTTCCATCTTGAGGACAAGGTGGATTTCGGGGGCGAGTAACGATAGATCCCCAACTCACGTAATAAACTAACAAGGGCAGTAAAGGAATTAACCAAGGAGAGGAAAGCAAGGGCACGATTATGCATTATGTTAGGAATAACTGAGAGGCAAAAAAATCACTTATAAATAGAGGGATGGTGCTATGGGAATGCCGGTAGAAAATTTGGTAGTTCTGGGGAGAGCAATGCACCTCTCGAATGTCCTTTTATCATTTTTCATTCCTGCCATTTACAATTCAGGAGAGTACAGAAGTGTTGGGGTGCTATTCTATCATTTGCATTCTATATAGAAAACCTTCAATTACAGACATCAATTCAACTATCGCTGAGTTTATCTTCTATTTTCATCTTATTTCATTCCTTGGTATCTTTGATTCTGTGTGTTGGTCGGAGTTATCAACAGGTTCCTATCACATATTTCTTGTGGAGATGATGACTTGCAAAAAATTTACATAAACAGTAAGGTGTAGTATATTTATAGTGATCATTCTTCTCGTGGGATCCATCTGCTCCACCACAAACTCTTCATGCGCCGGTTAAGCTCATCAACGCTCTCATTTATTGCACTAATAATCTTCCTTTGGAGCCGAAGAGCCGATGCAAGGGCATTCTGTGCACTTGACCTTTTCTTACGCTGAATTTCCTACACAAGAAGTCATAAAACTTTATCCATAAATCTGTAAGAAGTATGTTGTTTAGATTTGCTTTTAGATACAGACCCTGAGGTCCTGCAGCTGTGCTTCAGTGAAGCCTCTATCTCGCTCCGTTCCTGATTTTGCCATGAGTTGTACAATCCATGTGGAAGCTTCACTGTAGTCCTGTTGTGTAGCTCGGAAGTATTGGAACCGTAGATTCTGCATGAAGGACAAAGCCAATAGGCCTTCTCTATAAAAGTACGGACGAGCTAGAGCTCCTTTGCACTAATTCTTTGGCGTGCTTTATACCGAACCATTGATGTTAAAAGTTCCCACCCTATTCCACCATCCAAATCTAACAATTCAAATCCTCGTCGAAGTTCAGGGCTTGCACGAGCCTCGACAGATTTTCTCCACACGACCAAGTCATAATCACATCTCTTTAGTTGACGGTTGAATTGAATGAGAGCACTGTCTTTGCGCAATGATGGGAATGCCTGCACACCATATCATCACATGTATCAGGCCAAACGGATAAGAAACATTGAGAACTTCAAACATTAAGTGCCTCTATAAAGCTGTAAACAATTCGTCCTCCTAGGACATGCATAATTGAACATAACAATCTCACACGTGTGTCTTTGTCGGTAATAGTTGAAAATAATTTCATTTGGGCTGTATGCATTACATGATCAACTTGCAATTAACCACTTGGGAGATATATACGTTATAGTAAATGAGTTCTGATTTTCCCGCCCTCCAGTTTGGATACAACAAGCTGATGCTAAAAAGGGAGGGGAACCGACTAAATTTTCACATATTTAGATCCTTGTTTGTTTTAAGGGACCAAAAAGACGAAGACAACGACGACAACAAAGACAGACTAATATAAACAAAGCAAAGAACAACTTCTTTCCCTAAATATTAGGTTACTACTTTCTAAGTTGCAAATGAAGCCTTACATATCGACCAATTAAAAAAGAAATGGTTCATAATTTATTCCATACTTACCATTTGTAGAAACATGAGACCTGCACTGTAGATGTCAAATCTATCTGGTAGATTCAACTGCTGAAATATAGCATCAAACATGGAAAGAGAAGTTAATTTCTGAGAAGTGCAGTAAAACTAGACAACATAAACGTAAATACAAGACCTGTCGCAGAACAGGGGAAAGTGCTGTTGCAACTGGGGCTGAGGGTGCTGAGTGCTCATGATGTATTGTTCAGGAGTAGTATATCTGAAAAAAAAAAGAAAAAATGTATAGAATAATTCTATAAAATTAGATTAGTAGTTTTGAGCATATATAGATCTTCAAATATCATATGGTGCCGCTTTTATATGTAGCACTATTGGTATCTCTAACTTGGCAGCTTTCTTTCACCAAGGAATTCTTGAGGCTCACTGAGAAAGGCACAACAGGTCGAAACATATAAATCCGTTTCAATACCAGTGGTATAAATTTTGAATGTATGATAATATATATACACGCCAACCTAGACCAAGCCCTATTACTAACTTTATTGTATGTGTGTTCGTAAGAGAGAGAGAGAGGATCTGATGCATATTATTGACAAAGAAATGACTAAAGAAACTTGCGAGTGGAGAAGATTATGAAGATTAGTTAATAAGCTTATTTTCCTTGGATGCCGAATCTACAGTATACATAGCAGGACTAGTTTCAAGGATCTTTAGATGCTGACTGCATAACTTGAAAAAAGCTCTCATCACTTGAGAAATCAGTTTTACACAATATAATCATCTTTGTTCAAGCTAAGTTCAGTTTTCTGGACGTAGGATGTTTAAAT